AGTCACATTGCCAGAACCAAGCCTGCCTCACAAGCCTGCCTACACACCAAAGGAAAGAAACGTGGACAACATTCCATGGCTAGACTACCTTGCCAAAGCCTGCCTATGCCCAGGTAAGCTTAAAAAAGAAAAAAGTGCTGGAGGGAATACATGCCCATGGCACCACCCCCAGGGAACAATGGGAACTGGACTTTACTGAGATTAAACAACTGTCTTCAGGTACAAGTATATTTTGGTTTTCATAGACACATTTTCTGGATGAATGAAAGAAAGATTATCCCACTCGGACTGAGACAGCCTCCATAGTGACAAAGAAACTGCTCCAAGAACTAGTTCCTAGGTTTGGGCTGCCCCTCACCTCAGGGTCCGACAAAATCCTGGCCTTCACGGCCAAAATCTCTCAAAAATTTGACAAAGGCATTAAATATTAATTGGAAGTTACACTGTGCCTATAGACTACAGAGTTCAGGACAGGTAGAAAAAATAAACAGGACCTTAAAGGAAACCTAACCAAATTGGTTATAATAACAGGTCAAAGTTGGGCCAACCTCCCTCCCTTTGACCTACTTAGAGCTAGGTGCATGCCGTACTGAGGACTCACCCCTTATGAGATCATGTCGGAAGGCTGCCAACTATCCTTCCCTAGTTGAGAGATACACGTAAAATAGAGATGACTAATCACTCCCTTCTCAAATCATTACAGGCCCTGCAACAGACCCAGAAGACCACCCACCAGACAGTCCAAGGGGCTGGTCTTCAATCTGACTCAGAACTGGCTCACAAGTTCCTGGCGACTTGGTATGGGTCAGGAGAGTTTCAGTTCAGACTCTGGAACCAACTTGGAAAGGCCCCTATCCTGTGATCCTTACTCTGCCTACAGCAGTAAAAGTGGCTGGGATCTCCTCATGGACTTATCACACCCAGTTAAAGGTGGCTATGGAAGAAGATGGAAATTGGACTGTTATTCAGACATCTGACCCTTTAAAGATAAGACTAACATGAATTCCCTGATTGTTATGACTATAGTTTCTCTTCCTCCCCAAGGGGATTGCTTATAGTACCCATCGCTCCCAAGTCTGGGAATGGCAACTCAGGAAGGCCAGAGATGGGAAAGTCCTTACAACTGTGACCACAGACGGTCAACCCACCTTCCAAACAGACCTCTGTACCCTTATGACTTTAAGCCTATGGAACTGCTATGGCAGACATGGAGGGTATCAGGCAGTAGACTGTGGCAACCTACCATTTGAAAAAGAAACTCAAACACTCCAATTTTATGCCTGTCTTGCAAATGGCAAGTCTTCCTGCCAGGGGGATGACCAGTTCCACTGTACAGCCAGAGGTTGGGAAACAAAATTCTCATGGGGGCATACAGACCCCTACATCCGCATAGATAGAAAACACCCAGGTTTGTTCTCCAGGTGGTTGTAATCCCCTATCAAGATCATAGCCTGGAATACTGCCAAGTCACCATTATTGGGTTACAGGAAGAACTTGGGAAATAAGGACTTATGCCACAGGGAGGGATCCTGGAGATGAGTTTACCATACAGAAAAGGCAACCTCCCTGGAACCCTCAACCCATTGGCCCATACCAAAACCTTTATCTACAAGTACTCCTGAAACCTATAGTCCAACATCTCCCCACAACCTTGGTGACACCCGACACACTAGGAAGAATGGCTCCAGCCACCACAGCCAAAGTCCTGAAGCAGCGCCCCCCCTCCATGTTAAGTATACTAGTGAAAGTCCGTCAACATTTAAATCATACAGACCCAGCCCTGGGTCAGGACTGTTGGCTGTGCTTAGATCCCAAATCCCCTTAATATATAGGAGTTAGTCTAAATCAGACTCTCACTCCTACCAAGGACTGGAACCACCTTAGGGGACTTAAAAGGGCAAGGGACCTGCATCATGTCATCTAACAATGACAGTGAGAGATCTCCCTATAAGTGAGCTTGCAGCAGTAGTTTATGCACAAGCCCCAGTATGGAACAGGCCTAAATGTATATCCTCTAACCACTTTGAGGGTCTAAAAGGAGGGGGCCTCTGCATACTGGTCCACATTGTCCCTCAGGTATAAAGTCAGGTAGACTCTAACAAAAATGCTGTTACAAAATCGCAGAGGCTTAGATCTCATCTTTATAAAGCAAGGAGGCCTTTATATAGCTTTAGAAAAAACTTGATGCTTCTATGCAAATCAGTCTAAAATTATCAGGGAAAACTTAACACTAGTCTGACAACTAATTATCAGTCTTATTTTCCTGCTCTCCATGGCTCACTACCCAGCTTGCAGCCTTTGCTGGGCTCCAGTACTCCTACTCCTGGCTATGACAGTCAGACCTTGTCTGATCAATTACCTAGCTGTATTAGATGAGCAAATGCAGTAAAAATCATGGTTCTAGAAAAACAATATAATCCCCTAGATGAGTCTAGGATTTGACTCACGCCCATAGAACCAGTGGGGAATGTGATAAGACACCTTGTTGACCATACCTAAGCGATGTTAAAGTTTAGGCTGACTCTAGTGTCTGAAATTATCAGGCAGTTGCCCTAGGGTATGGAAACACAGGTCAGCAGGACCCAGTTGTCTTGAGAACAGGTCAGTGTGTCCCAGAGTGCACCTGCTAACTGCAGGTTTATGGCTTCTATAGGTTATACTTGGCCTGCTTCTGCAAAACAGTAATTGTTGCTTAACAGAATAGAAATTGTTAAGGGGGCTCTCCACCCGTAAGCTTGGGAATTTAAACTTTTCACCCCTGGTTATGGTTTCTCTGTATAAAAGCTTACCCTAGAGAAGGCTCAGGGCTACACACTGGGATTCTGACACCCTGGTGTAGCCCTAGTCAGCAAGACTTTCTTTGGCAAATCTTTGTCTGAGTAGTCTCTGGTGAAGCACCTTGCAACAGAATACAATTTTTTAATTAAAAAAAGGACTTTATCTCAGTTGTCTTGGCATAGTCATATGACTAGAAACAGTAACAACCACAATCTTAGTATAGTACTGTTTTCTCCTTCATTGTATATGTGGCTGACAAAGTCATGTGGCACAAGTTTGTTAGGAACTGTTTGCATTGTATTCTAAGGAGATAAAAGCCCATGGCACCAAACAATTATGCCTTGTGTATAATGTAGGCATATCCTTTGTACAATAGCCCTTCAGAGTGTGCATACCAATTTTCCGCTATCATGTCTGCAACTCGAGAGGGGTTGTGCCAGCTATTAAGTAGTGCTAGGGAATGATTACCATTACCCCAGGGAAGCTGTTCTGCCAGTCTTACTGCTTTAGGTAAGGCAAACCTGAACTGTGTACTCTATACTATTTGTCAGTGTTGCACCAAGGGAATTAAGTCTCCAGCAGCTGACAACATTAACAGTGTTCTAAGAACACCCTTTACTGACACTTCCCTTTCCTCTCATTCCCAGTCTATCATTCGTATACCAACATGTCCCAAATAAGCCACCTGTCCTGGAGTCCTTGTCCTGCGTTATATTTCCAAGAGAAATTAAAACATAAGACACCATTATTACAGCAAGGTTAGCTGGGTACTCAAAATGTTTATTTGGTGTGAAAACATACAAATTTATCAATTGTGTCATTACTGAACTTACAAAAAGAAGGCACTTTTCCAGATAAAAAGCAACACTGTCTAATTGGAAACAGATAATTCTTATATTGGGTACTATGTCAAGTCTTTATTTAAAGTGCGCATTACTACATTTAGGAAATTCTTGATTATCAAAGAACTTTGTATATGTACTATCTTAATTATACCAATACAGAGGGGAAGAGGATAGGAAATAGATCAGGAATGAATTCTCCAGGACGAAAAGAGGAAATATATGGAATTTATGGATTAAAAAAAAGAAGTCTGCAAAACTTTACAAGTGAAATGAAACAGTGTAATAACAAGCATCATAAAATGATGTTCTAGTGACCATAGATATATGGCACATAGTCAATACACATGGATACCACATAATGAATGCACTTCAAGTTGAAGTTTGTTTACCTGTAACAATATGGTACACATACATAAATACATACATGCAAGATCCCTGGAATGCAAACTGTAGTACCTAGGAAGAAAAAACATGATGAAGCATAGTCAAAAGAGAGTAAGATGGAGATGAAGCCATCAGAATTAAGGGAACTCAGCACACTTCGGTTCTGTAGAAGCTGACTTGGAAAGGCCTGCCTATTCATCAGTTTGTTGGAGGTTGGATGTATTCTAGGAAGTAAATGACCCACTTGTGAATTTAAAGTCTACCTGATGGCTACTAACCAACAGTGCCTTGTTTCTTCTTATTCTCTTGGCTCTCAAAAGCTCAGATCATTCAATACTTTTTTTAAAAAACATTTTTATTGAGAAATGTTTCCCCTGGAAATTTAGCGAGACCCTCTTCTAATGAAAAGAATTGTTAATAATCAACCTTTAGCTGATTCCTCTTAATAATGGATTAATTTTTAATGCCAAAGGCTCCTGTCATTAAATTGAACTGAATTTGCTTTATACAATTTCATTGTGAAATACACGGTCAAGAATATTTGAGTGCTATATTCTAGAAACAGTATAAAACCAAATTTTCAGTTTTACAAAGCCTTATGCATGTCAAAACTTCTTTAATGTTACTGTACATATTTGCTTTGCTGAGTTAAAACTTTCATTGCATACTAAAAGTTTTAATACAAAATTTAGTAAGTTTCTCTTATTGGTTACCTTTTTTAATATTAAATTCAGTGGTAAATCAATTGAGACATGAGAAAAAATAAATGGAGAAATTTCTATACTGACAAGTAGTTGATAAATCAAGCTTAGTGACAGTTTAGGTCTCCTTCCAATTCTCTTACATTTCATCTTATAATTGATCTTTTGGGCTTTCCATGACTATTTCAAATGAGCAAAATTAATAAAAAAAATTAAGTGATACACTTAGTCTCACAAAGTATGAAAGATTCTGGCACAAAAGCTACATAGCCATACTATGCTTTGGAGTTTGTTACTACTTCATTTTTGAGAAATGTTCACCCCAGAAAGACTCCTTTCTTAGAAGAAAACTATGCAGTGAGCTCTCGAGTTACATCTGAGTGAAAAGAAATGCCCTACTTTCCCTTCACACATTGGCAGAAAATGCCAACACTGACTTTTGAGATTGGAGGTGTTCTCAGAAGCAAGTTGGGAGCTCTCTTGTAGCTTTAAATGACTACTTCTTGTCACCCAAGAAGACTCAGGCTGGACAGCAACTGGGCGTACCTCTAAGTATACTTTTCAAAGTTATTTTTTTCTGGAACTCAATATTTACATCTATTTCTTATATGAGAAAAAGTAAAACAATCTTCTTTGATCCATGGGGTAAAGTTTATGTAAAATAAATTAAAGTGCAGAAGATTAACAACCGGTCACAGAAATTAGCATCATTACATAATCGGGGCATATAAATACTGTACTTATCTTGGCAATGCTGGGACTACCTCTTCACCTCTCAGGAACACACACACTAACACACACGGATTATTACACATGGACACTGGCACTTCCATTTACACCTTCACCTTCCAGGCCCTCCGCAGACTGGGAGGAAGAGGGCCTGGAGCTTCTAGGGCGAGGCTGACTGTTGAGTCCCACATGTGTTCCTAGACCATGGTCCGTCTGAGCAGCTGTATCATCGGATTCCCAGCGCTCCAACTCTTCCCGCACTAGGCGCTCCATCTGTTCCCTGTGGACCTCGGTGTTACGACCCAGTCTCTCATCCTATCAAGGGAATTGGAGAAAAAGTAAAGAAAAAAGGGACTTGCCTGCTTCGTGTTGCATATTCACCTATATGAAAACTGAGTTGGGAGATCTGGGGTTAAATAAACTGTAGTTAGGTAGGACTGTAGATAGAGACAGCAAATAACGGCATCCTGAGAGTCACTGGAAAAATGTTCACTGAATTGGATCCTGCACTGGTAGCAGGCTCAGAGTGTGGGGTATTAACAGACATGGCCCCAGACTCCGATTCAGTCTGAAGTGATAGAGGAAGACAAGCATCAAAGGGTAACAGATACAAACTGTGACTGCTTCTATGTTTTACAGAACCACAAAGAATGCTTCTGCTTCAGGGGAAAAGTCTGAAGATGGGAATGAGTGGCAACAACATTGAGATTGCATGAGTATTAACTTTAAACAATCTTATTCTTCAACACTTTAAATGGAAAAGTGTCACAGACGTATATTTTTACCAATAAATATTTGTTCACCAGTCAAGAGTTTATAAGCTCCTGACTTCTTACCTCAGCCACTCCATCCAGCAGTCTCCCAAGCACCTCTCGTCTCTTTAGCTTGGCTCGCTCCATAATTTCAAGCTTCACAATCACAGCATCAATCTTGGACACAATACTGCCAATGGAGTGCTCCATGCGGTCAACTCGTCTCACCAGTCTGCAGGGAATGACAGCAGGGGCAGCCAAAGTCACCTGGCCATTGTCTTTTCAGCCCACTCGCTCTCCCAAGGGAAACACCAAGACGATTCTTAAGCAATGTGATAATCTGAAACACTTCCTATGTGGATTCAAGACACAGAGTAAATTTTCATAGGCTGCTGGTGGGAGTGATGGCTAGCCCAACCTTCCTGCCTACGGTAAACACCAGATCTGCAGTTTTAAGAAAGTATGTCCATCCCTTGATGAACACATGCCATTTTTAGAAAAAAATCTTATGGAAAGTTTCATGTGCATAATTTTTTAAGTTACAAATATAGTCACATGAGTATTGTTTTTTTAAGAGTGTATCGTTGAACAGTGGTTATGCTACACAGCTTGTAGGAGTTATTTAAATAAATTACAGTTCATCTATACCGTGGAATTCTAAGGTGACACCAGAAATTGTACTGTCAGGATGTTTCATGAAATAAAATTATGCGTAAATAAACCTTAGAAAATAGTGTGATCTTTTATCATCCCATTACTTTGAATAAAAATAGGTAAACGTCTTAACATATGTCTAATGGTGACAATTCTCTTCCTCCTCACTCCCTCTTCTCCTTATAGTACTAGAGACTGAACTAGGAACCTTGCACATACTAGGCAAGTATTCTACCACTGACTACATGCTCTGGAGACAACTTCTCAAATGTTAGTATAAGAGCTCTGTAGACTGTCTTCTCAGTGAAACAAGTGTAACCGCTTAAAATTAATTTTTTAAAACAATCTTTTTCTTTTTGACAGGGTCTCTCTGTAGCATCAGCTGGATTGGAACTGGCTATGTGGACCAGACTGGCCTAGATCTGAGAGAGATCTGCCTGCCTCTGTGCTGGGATTAAAGGCATGTGCCATTGCATCTGGCTTAAAAACTCAATCTTTTTAATCTTTTTAAGGATCTAGCAATTTTCTTAAGGGCATATAGAAAATGAAAATTGGTTCAGCAAACAAATCAACTAAATTTCAGAAAGAAAAGTGAAAGCTTATGGCATTTAAGAATGTTTAAAGAATATTTCTTCAAATAATATTTCTTCTCATATTTGATGAAAAGCATTGCAAATTCAAGCCATTCATAAAACTGCAAATAGGGCAGAGTCAGAGATGTTCATGCAGGCATACACAGTCAAGACACAGAAAGACAGGCACAAAGAAAAAACTAAAGGCACCAAGAGAAAATGGATTTATCGTGTACAAAGGACCTCATTATGCTATCTTCTAATGAAAAGTAACAGAGGAAATGACGATGAAACAGGTAAACAAAACTGGAGAGAACTCCTTGTTGGCCGACCTGCTTCACAAGCAGTACTGAAGGGAAAAATATGAGTGAAACCAGAATTCCAGTAATCAGAATCCTAATGAAAAAACAGAGAACGTGGATAAAGGTCATAATGTGAGTGTGAAAAACACTATAAATGCTATTTATTCCTTTCTTCATTGGTTTAGGAAAGAACTGTGTAAGACTTGTAAATAATAGGATTGTTGGCCCTGTAACATACAGAAACAAAATATATTTGACAATTCCTTGACAAAGGAGATGGGTTAAGTGCAAGATTGTACTGGGGGAAGGAAATGATATGAGATGGTAGTCTGACATCAAAGGACAAATGAGGTAGGAAATTAGAAAGGTGATATACCAGTGCTATAAGTATATTTTAATATTTTTTCTCTCAGCTTTGTTCAGACATAAGATACAGTGGTAATGGCAGCAGTATAAAGATGGATTTGTGCTGAATACGATAGAAAAATAATATGCATACATACATTTATATGAACAGAAACACAAAAAGAGGATGAAAAAGATATACAGGAAGAATATTTCTGCATCTCACAGAATTAAGTTCATATGACTCTGAAGCGGTTTCTCATAAGTATTTATGTGAAGTCCTAGACAACCACTAAGAAAATAACAAAAAACACAGTGTCAAGATATCATTAAAAGCATCAAAATGTTAACAGTAGGAAATAACTGTTTAATGTAAAAAAAGCAGTGAAGGAGTAGGAGAAAAGAAGAAAAAGACAAAACGGAAAAGCAGATAAATCCAACTATATCAATAATAAACTGCAGATTGGTTTTTTTTGTTGTTGTTGTTGTTGTTGGTTTTTGTCTTTTTTTTGAAGCAGGGTCTCCCTGTTGCTCCAGCTGTCCTGGAACTCACTATGTAGACCAGGCTGGCCTTGAACTTAACAGAGATCCGCCTGCCTCTGCCTCCCAAGTGCTGTGACTACAGGCATGTGCCACCACGCCTGGTTAGTATTAATCTAATCAAAAGGCTGAAATTACCAAAGAAAATAAAAAGGTCCAATTATGGGTTGGAGATATAGCTCAGCACTTAAGAGCACTGGCTGCTCTTCAGAGGACCTGGGTTCGGTTCCCAGCTCCCACATGGCAACTAACAACCATTGTAACTCCAGTTTCAGGAGATCCAATGCCCTCTTCTGGCCTCCATGAGCACTGCAGGACATGGATGCACTTACATGCAAGCAGTATACTTATACACACAAAAATTTTTAAAAAAGATCCAATTATATGATGTCTACATTACATATTTTAAAAGAATTCTAAAATGGCAATTTTTGGTTTATGGGGGGAGCCATGAAGTGTGTATGAAGGTCTAAGGATAATCTGGGTGTTGGTTCTCTCCTTTTACCACGTGGGTCTTGGGAATCAACTAAGGCCATCAAGCTTGGTAGCAAGCACCTCAACCTACTGAACCATTTCTCCCACTCCTACATGATGCTTATTTTATAACCAAAGATACAGGAATGCTGAAAATAAAGTACAGCAAAGGATTTATTGCTATCATGAAAACAGCAACCAAAAGGAAGTAGGAGTGGCTGTAGTTACATTAGACAAAAAAAAAAAAAAAAAAGAGTTTTAAAAGAAACATCTTGCGTGAGATAAAGACATCATATAATGAAATCTGGGCTAATTTATTAGAAGGTATACTAGTTATAAATATGTATATACCTAACAACAAGTTCCAAAATATATGAGAGCCTTCCAGAATAAAAGGATAAATGATAATTTAATAATAATAGAGACATTATAATTTAATAATAATAGAGACAAATAGGCAGAAGATCAACAGGGAAAGAAGACATTTGAATAACTAACAAACTTCAACAGAGCACTCCATTCAAAAACAGCAGAATATACATTCTAATCATGTAAACACAGAATCCTTAAAGACAGACCATGTGTTAGGCCATAAGATGTGTAAATCAGGGGCTGGAGAGATGGCTCAGCTATTAAGAGCACGGTTCCCAACAACTACATGGTGGCTAACAACTGTCCATAACTCCAGTTCTAAAGGATCTCTCGTGCCTTCTTCTAGCCTCCAGGGGCACTGCATATATGTGGTGCACTTATATAGATGCAAGCAAAACACTCAACATAAAAAAAGACATGTACACTTTGACAAGCACATGTAAAATGAGACAGAAACACTAAAATTTATTAAGACAATTTGGTTAGAAGGAACATGGAGGACATTAATGTTTCCCTTTGCTTTTTTGAATTGCATATAATGAAGATCTTTTACAAAAATTAAAAAATAATCTTTAAAACTTAATTAAAAGACTTGACATTAATCATGCACAGGAATGAACTTCTAACACCAGAGTAACTGCTTCATCTCATTTTGGCTCTAGCCAACCTGAACCTGGCCAAAACCTCTATACTTACACTTGGAACTCTTCATAAGAAACCCCACTGGAGATGCTTCCCCTCCTCCTGGAGCTATGCCCACTGTCATCGTCATCATCCTCCTCAGAATCATCCAGGCTTCTGGGGAAACTTCTGCTGCTCAAGGGACGTGGTAAAGAGCTATGTTCCAAGTCCAGGTCCTCCTGAAGAACACAGAATCTTCTAGTGAGGAACAGACATACCAAGACCTCACAACAATTTTTATCAAGGTCTTGGGAAAGTAGGAAATGAGTGTGCACCAGACCAGGATTCTGCACTTTCTGATTTCTTGGATTGAAAACAGATTTGAAACAGGAATAAGTGTGTGTGTGGGGGGGGGTGGATAAGCACACTACTAATGTGTAAGTTGTGGGGAGGGAGAGAGGGAGAGATGGAAGGAGGGAGGGAGGGAGAGCGAGAGCTAGAGAGAGAGAAGTGAATACATGGGAGACACTCAATGCACCCATCTTCTAAACTACGTACCCTCTCTTTCTCCAAGTCGTCTCTCATCTGCTGATGCTCATGTTCATTAAGTTCCTGGTCTCCATCCTGGTCATACTTTGTAAATATGGCCTCAATTTCTGCATCAGTGTGGCCCTTCCTGAAATTATTGAGAGGATTCAGATAAATTTCAGTACATGTCCAACCCAAACACCGAAATATTCAAATGCAGTAAGTGAGAAATCACTGAAAGGAGGCTGGCCCTCCTTACAGCATGTTCTAGAAACATTCCTGTTCCTCCCTCCCATCCAAAAAGTATTTCTCTCCAGTGCTTGGGCCAGAAGCACCCCCCTGTTACCAAGAATTTATATTTGCAATAGTAATTCCCCAGGCTCCAGGAAGTATGTCTCTCACCCTTTCAGATCTTGTCGAAGCTCATCAAAGTTTAACTTGCCTCCACCTTGCCTCAGACTCTCTGAAATGTCATCTACAGTATTTTTTTTCAGTTTTAGTTTGACCAATGCTTTATGGTAGCCCTATTGAAAAACGAAGAAAAAAACCCACATGGTTTAGTTTTTGTTTTTTTTTTTTCTTTTTGAATTTTGTCTTTCAGATACACTTGGAACTATTAAAAATTCAGTGCTTGGTGGAAGTTGCATGAAGTTTTCCCTTACAACATGATCCACAGACAATGGTGCTTTGGCTTGAACAACAGAAAAACAGTGAGGGAGCTACTCTATCTTACCAACAAGATGGTAGGGAACAGCCTGTGTACTTTACATGTAGCTATTTATTTTTATGTAAGTTTTGGTCTTTAAACCAAATAAAGAAGCCACATCAGGAACAAAGATATTCCACCGCCCTGTCCTGCCTTTCTCTTTAACAACTATGTATTTTCTGAGAAGTTGTGGAAAATCTCAGGCTCCCAGGCCTTGCTCAAGGAGCCTTTTTCTTCAGCCTTTTACAAGTGCTAAGGAAGGATGGGGTAAAAGGAAACTGAGTAAATATTTTCTTCTAAAATCCTTTGTTTAAATGGTAACAGATAGATTTGGAACTCTCTCTCTCTCTCTCTCTCTCTCTCTCACACACACACACACACACACACACACACACACACATACACACACATATCTTCTCAGTGTGCTGTAAACTAAGAACTCTTAGGCACTGAGTAATTAAGAATCAAAAAAGATTATTTTAGAATCGAATTCAGAGCATGCAAGAATTCATGGAATTTAAGTCCGGGCTAACATCATATCAAATCAAGCCTCCTATGGGAAAAAAAAATTAAATTACTCCTGAAATAAAGCAATTTACCATTTATTGTAAACTATATCAAGGAAGCAATGTTGATTCAGAAAACTGACCAAAACAATGCTCATTTTATATAGGAAAATGAAAAAGCTCCGGAATTAGGGATTCCTACCTTTTTTATAAGATCTGAGAGTTCCATTTCGGCTTTCTGCTGGGCCAGATCAGATTTCACTTCAGAATAAGTATCATTGATGATGGCAAGAAACATATTCTGTTTGTAAATTAAGGAAGGAAACTCACATATATTTTGGAAACATGAATCCAATAATTGACACGTGCCCTTTTGTTTACCTTTTTACCCAAGGTGAATAATTATGAAGTGACTGGCTAATAGTTTCGCTATCACATTTTTTGAAACAATATTTTCTCCACTGAGTCAAGCCAAGGGAAATCTTACAAAACTGTATTATGACATGTTTTGCAAAACAAGTCAATAAAATATTAATGTATTTATGGACAAATGATAGAAGTATTATTTTTATTTTCTACTTTTAAAACTTTTATAAACTTTTATATAAAGATACTGTATATAACTCCAGAGAATTCTTCAAGTTTTCAGTCAACTTAATCAAGCAGAACTTTACACTTTTTTCCAATTTTATCCTATGATCATATTTGAAATTTATAGAACATATTTTAAAGAATTAAAATGACCTCTGAAAGTAGGCATAGAGTAGATCTGGCATAAAAATCAAGTAAAACCATGGAAAAGAAGATGACTGGAGTCTAGTAAACTTGATTCTAGTCTTGGTGAAATTGGGACCAGGAAGAGGTCAAAGGAAAGAACAAAACTAAACACCAAAACCCAAGACGAAATGCCAACGAACAGATGAACAAACAAAATCCCCAGAAATTTATACCTTGAAACTATATAGTATCTATAGCTGGGCTCACAACTGTCAAACTGGGCCTGGTGCTAACACAACTTCAATGGCAGACACCATGTATAACCTTCTAGTCTGAACCCACACAACAAAGAAATGAAATATTTGTCAAGTCACCCTAGTGGAAAAACAACCTATGTAACCTTGTTCCACAATGCCTAGATTTATTACAAAATCTACCAAGAAAAGCCTGTAAGTGGGACTCTTCCAAGAAACCTGAATTCACCCTTTGAGTGTTTATGTTCCCTCTGTCATAAACTTTCTCCCAATTCCTTATTTATCTGCCTTAGAATTCTTTCTTTGACAGAAAGGCAAGAATTTGTAAATACTAGATAGTCCTATTTGTTTTCTCTGTCTCTGAGAACTCTCCAGCCTTCATCTCCAGCCAACATGGAATTGCCAACACTATGTTTTTTGACGTGTGTGTGTGTGTGTGTGTGTGTGTGTGTTTGTGTGTGTTATGTGTGTGTACAGGTATGCTCATCTGTGTGGGCTCATGTAAAAGCCAGAGGTTGACACTTGGACATCTTTCCCGGTTGCTTCTCCACCATATGTACTCAGGCAGGGTCTCCCACTTGAACCCAGAGATCACTGATTTGCTTTGTTAGTCTAGCTAATTAGCTTGCTCGTAGGATCCTGTCTCCATCACCTGAGCTGTAGGATCACAAGCAGGCCGACACAGCCACACAACACTTATATGGGTACTGGGGATCCAAATTATAGTCCTTATGCTTGCAAAGCAATGACTTTACCCATGCAACCATCTCAGCCCCTTGTTTGACACTTATAAAATGGAAAAGTTAACAGTACCTCCCTTAACTATTGCTTGTGCATGTTAATGGGATAATCTATGCAGTGCTCAAGACAGGCCCCATTTGTGACAAGTTCTATGTGTTATATCATTTGTAGCTGCTGTCATTCACCAATCTCTAGACACTTTCCTAATGTTTCTCCTCCCTAGTGGTAATGGGTATTTCCAACACACTTCCTCAAAGCACTGTGCCTAGAAAATCAGATCAGTCTCTTGCATGCTGTTCTTCCTATATGGTAATAGATTTGTGGCTATAACCAGGTATATTTACTTATATCTGTTTTACCCAGAAGTTCATGGAATCTTCATCAGAGAAAGTTCAAGCTCTGTTTTCCTTTCCATAGTTCCCCCAGTCATCTAATGCATTACCTTACACACTAAACATTATAATATACACTACCCATCATGTATAATGTATATTTAAGAATATTTTGTTTCATATAATAGTTATTGTTATTGATGAATGCAGCCTTAAAAGTCTTATTTTAGTGGGGTACTAAAATCTCTATCAATTGTAGGAAGACTATTGTTTAAGATTTGGTATCAGAAATGTGAACAAAACACACACTATATAAAAGTTCTTAGCTATATGCTCCAATCTAAGCCCTGCTAATTTCAGACCTTCACTCTCCTAACCCAGGCAACTAACATTCTGTTTTCCCTTCTAAATGGCTACATGATGGCTACAGATATCTTAGCTGCAATGGATTAAAGTGTGGATTTAATATCCAAAGAGTAGATATAGGCTGTGTCTGATAAAGGCTTTTTAAAAAATATATTTATTATTTTTATTTTATGTGTATGAGTAGACTGCCTGCATTGTATATAAGTGCATCCATGTCATGCAATGCCCACAGAGGTCAGAAGAGGACATCAGATCCCCTGGAACTGGAGTTACAGATGGTTGTTAGCCACCATGTGGGTGCTGGGAATCAAACCTGGGTCCTCTGAAAGAGCAGTAAGTGCTCTTAAATGCTAAGCCAACTCTCCAGCCTGGCCTTTTTTGTTTGTTTTTTTTTTTTTTTTGAGACAGGGTCTCATGTGACCTAAGCTGCCCTTGAACTCCATATGTAGCTGAGGATAACTTTGAATTTCTGAATTTGTTCCTCCTGCTTCTACCTCCAGAGTGCTAGGATTATAGGCATGTGCTACTATGTAGGTTTATGGGGAAAGATGGTAGAATTCAGGGTTTTGTGTGTGCTAGTTAAGCACTCTATCAACTGAACTACATTTTTACCCCCAAGAAAGCTTTTTAAGGTCTGAGAAGAAACTGTCCTTCCTCCCCATCTTGTCTCACAAAGGTCACCTAGTTGTCAGATGGGTCTCTATACTAGGCCTTTCAGTACAGGGTCAGTAAATTAATACCAGCAGCTGCTCACAAAGGTAGTCAGACCTACATTCTGCTTCTACTCTTTGATTTTTTTTTAAAGATTTATTTTTATTTTATGTATGTTTGTCTGCATTCATGTACATTCACTGTGTGCATGCCTGATGACTGCAGAGGCCAGACAGGAACAAAACCCCTAGAACTGGAGTTGCAGACGATTGTGAGCCACCATATGGGTGCTGGGAACCAAACCTGGGTCTTATGGTAGAGCAGCCAGTGCTCTCCAGCCCCTTAGCTTATTTTCTTTAGAGACAAGTTTCTGTTCAAAGTTGCTTCCTGTCTCATCTTACCAACCTATCTATATACAGACCTATCTACATCTGGTGTGTGCAGGGACAGAAATCCCTTTTGCAGCAGTTGCATAAAAATTATTTTAGGACAGTTTTGGTGGCTCACATCTGCAGGATATGCTGAAGAGGCGGGGGCAGGAGTGTCAGGAGTTTGGGGCCAGCCTGGGCTACAACTTTAGCTGGGCATGGTAGGTCAGGCCTTTAGTGGTAGTGCAAGTTGAATTCCAGCACTTGGGAGGCAGAGGCAGGTGAAGGAGCTCTGTGAAATGGAGGCCAGTCTGGTCTACATAACGAGGCCCTGAAATGTGATCAGTTTCAAAAAGAAAAATTTACAGCAAAAAATTTTGTTATTTTCTTCAGATGGGTCTCCATGAAAGAAAAGTCTGAAGACACAGTGTTTAACATAATATGCTCCCTCCCTAAACTAAGTTAACTTCATTTTATACTTTCTCAGTGGACAAGCAGAATGTACAAATGCTAAAAAAAAAAAATCTTCCAAAAAAAAAAAAATCTTAAGGCAAAATGTTAAAAGTGTTAATTTGTCCTAAATCAAGAGAACCAAAGATTTTTAAAATGTAATTTGAAAACAATTCCTAATTATTGTTAGTTTTCTTTTAAATTTAGTATAGGGAAACTATTTGCAGGCAGTATATAGACCTGTGGATATGAATAGTTGAAACAGAGCCTTAAGCTTGACATGCAATAATTCACTCAGCTCCAACTCCTCGTGACATCCTAGTTCTAAACTGTGGTTCCTTTTTTTTCTTTCTTTCTTTTTTTTAATCAGAGAAAAGAAGAAATGGAAAGCCAGGCAGCAAATGACAATGAAGGAGGTGACACTGTGCTGAAAAGCAGTAAGCACTTTCTACTACTGAGGAAAAACCACCATTTTAGGGAACTTTATAAATTTGTAGTTGTTAAAATTATAGTGATTAGACACGTATGTGATAAATGGAAGATCATGGGAAAATAGATTAAGTATTGGAACTGTGATTCAATGAAAAATGAAATGTTTCCTAAAACAAACAAAAACAAATCTAAATTTTTTTTCTCTTTTCTGTTTTCTGAAATGGATAATCGAGCCTGAGAAAAAAGATGGTGATTTCTAGCATAGTTTAAATCACCTCACTATACACAAAAATATACATACCAAAAGAATGAAGAACATAAAGAACACAAACGTGGTAAAATAAAGCGGCCCCAAAACTCGATTCGCTTCCTCAATGTCTGTGAAGTTGATATCACCCAAAATGATGCGGAACTGAGTGAAGCTACGGAAACAAAACAAACAGCACAATGCAAAGCCGTGTGCACGTTCATGAACGCGGACTTCATATTTGGGTCACTCTGGGAAGTTTTAGATAGCTGCCAAAAAAATAAAAAACTGCTGATCTCTTTGGAAAAGTCTTGCTATTTGTATTGTCGATTGATACCTTCTAGAATAACGAAGTGCTTTCACATTAGGTATGTCATTTTGACTCGTTAATATTAAATCTGACAATGAGATGATTTAAACTGCAAAAATACACATTCTGGGTTACACCTGGCAGCTACTGTAAATCTTTACAATACTCACTCTGGGTCCGAAGTTAAAATCTCTTTAAATAACACCACCACAAAGCATGTTGAAAGATGGCCAAAACGGCGTGGCTTAAAGATCCAGTATTCTCACATTCACTCAAAGTGATGTCAGAGTGGCTAGGTGTTGTGAGGACTTAGTGAAATCACCTCCACTCCTGCCTTTTACCAATTAACTAGAAATCCTTGTGCAGGAAGCCATATTAACCTCCATTATCAAGATCTCCTTCCCTGACTCCTAACTTCTTTGTGAATGGCACAGAAATATAATTCAGAACGCTGTGTTTTCTTTTGTCCTATTTTTTGCTATATTTGGGGACACTGGAAAAAGATTGAAGATTCATGTATTGGTTTAAGTTTCTTCTACAATATTAGAAATGTTTTATTTTCCTTAGAACTTGAAGTTCAAAATACATGGTAACACTATTGAACAAGAATGAAAATACAATCAAATAACCTTTTTTATTTGGGGGGAGGGAGGAGCCCAGAAAATCGAGATGGAACCCAGGACTAAGCATTCCACCAATGAGCTGTACCTCCACCAGCAAATGGCCATTAAAGCTCCCACCTGCACAGGGTGTTCAGGAGATCCTGACCACTGGAACAGTGCTGGCTTTCAGTACTTAATTGCTGCTTCCCCAAGTACCAAAAAGCATTTCAGAATGTCTTGTCTTCTTTGGTGGGGCAATGTTTGTAAAATAGGCAATTTATTCATACTTTAAATAACTATTTTTACCATTTGGTGGGCAAATAGCATTAAGAAGAATTTTTTTATCTTTGAGAAGGCATCTTTGATTAAAAAAATCATAAAGAATATTTTTCATTTATTCCTTGACAATTTTATACATGTATACAAAAATCCCTTCTTTTTTATTTCATAGATACTTACATACATTCTTGGAAAGTACTGAAGTCATCGACCTGCGTGCCAAAGACAAGGTATGCCAACTGAGCATATGCCAGGAAGATAATGAAGAACATGATGGCGAAGCCAAAGAGGTCTTTGGCACATCGAGACATGGTTGTGGAGAGCTGATTCATGGTCCTATTAAAATTGATGAATTTGAAGAGCTGTAGAAGAAGGGCAATGTCAGTCAAGGAATGGATAATACAATGTGGGATACACATACAATGGAATATTATTCCACTGTAAGAGGGCATGAAATCTGATACACACTATGAGATGAACTTGGAGAACACTATATTCCAAGTGAAAGAAAGAGGATGCAAAGGCTCAAATACTGTAGAATCCTCTTTACTTGAGGGACTTAGAATAGTCAAATTCAGTGGGGCAAGAAATATAATGGAAAAGTGATGAGTAAGGGTACAGCATTTCATGCTGGGGTTACAAAAAAGTTTGGTAATGCATAGTGGTGCTGGCTGTACAACACTGTGGTGTATTGAATGCCTCTGAAATGTAATGTAAAATGGTTGGACTGAGAGCCAGCAGTTGAGGCAGCTGTTCCTGACCGCAAAGCATGGGGGGGGGGGATGGACACGCACATACGGGTGTTAGAAGTGGAGTCACAATTCTGGCCTGGAACAAACCAATGGTCATGTTTTAGCAACGAAAGCAATGAAAAAAGACAATAACCTGAGATGCATGTTGGAGAGAAAGCTCTAGAATTTTACTTAGTCTTTTATAAACTGTTTTTGACTACAATTTTTCTGAGTTGTTATACTCAGTACTACTTAATGAAATTCCTATTTATTTATTTACTCTATAGCTCTGGGATGAAACTCAGGGCCTCGTATATGGTAGGCAAGGTCTCTGCCACTGAGTGATACCACTAGTCTCAATTTCTATTCACTTTATGATAAAGGCTTGGTGTGTTGGTGATGGTTTCTCTTGAATAAGTAGGCAAATGAGTAACAGCATGAGAGACATAAAGGGACTAGTGGGACTGAGAACTCAAGTTTCAAGTATACTTCATCTTCATTACATATACACTGTGCATGTGGCCAGGAGCCACTGCTTGTACAGCACCATCTAAAAACCTGAGCAAGTGGCATGTGGTAACTGCCTTAGAATGACTGAAATTTCCTGTATCTCTAGAATCGAGGCTCACTGTCCAAGAGATACCCCATTCTTTCACACAGGGAATGAGTAGGAAAAAACTATTCAGAAGAGCCTGTGATACAACTCCAATTCTGGGTGGAATGTCCTCTGGCTTGCCCTTGAAAGAGGCAATCTTCTCAAAAGCACTCCCTGCTGCACATCTCTCCCTCTTTCGTACCCCAACTTCTTTCTGTGTGCCGCCTTTCCCTTACTCATCACATCGGGTGAAATTCAGACCTACTCAGAAGCTAGAGAAGCCTGGAGCCCCAGGCTCAGAGAACAGAGAAGGTCTTTTACTGCATATATTAAAACCTACAGGATCAGCTCTGGCAAGAATTCAGGTAGCAGAAGCAACAATAGCAATGGTCACAGGAGCCCCACTAGTTTACTTGATGTAAACTATGGAACAACCTTGGGTGGCCATTTAAATTTGGCCAAAAATGTAGATTCACATCTTCAATACTTTATGTAATTCATATTAATGAAAAGAAAAAATATATTAAAAATTCAAAACGTGACATAAATTACCTTAATCCAGACAAAAAATACTAAGACAGCAGCTATATTGTTGAACTGTATTTGCCAGTACGCCACATGCTCAAAGTTAGGGAAAGTATCTTGATCTTGCAGAAACTGTGGTAGCCCCTCTACATTTGATATCCGGTAAATGTTAATTACCACAGCCACAATGGATAACTGGAAGACAAAAAATTTATATTCATTGCATTGCTTTAAAATATATAATCTGTAATCGACCTTAAAATGATGACTTTCCCCACCAGTGTATGGATTAAACGGCTGACCATAACAGTCACCCAATGGCACCCATCAGTCATTGGCTCCAAAGGACAATGCTGAGAACTGCCTTAGAATGTGTAAACAACATACAGCTTGCATTCCCTTAGAACAGAAACCAAGAATGCATGGGTGTGTACACATGAGTACACAGAAGAAAATATGCTAATACAAACTCAAGTTTAAAAGAGGTCTTCTGCCCAACTGCCGATCACAGCTAAAATAAACCTCACTGCCTTCCTTTTTAGCCAGGAAGGACTTCTAGTCCTTCTATCTGTCCTGCTGCTGTTAATGTTTGCTTTGCATTCTCTTGTATACACTAAAAATATCCTTGTACTCAGCTGAGAGGGATGAAATCTGGTTGGTTGAGCAAATCCAACAATAATCCTATGTTCAACTTGCATGAGGTAATTCATTATCCAGTCAAGACATTAATACAAAGAAACCAATATCATAGCAACATATTAACGTTCCTCGGAGTTTTCTTCCAAAATAGGGAATGATAGGAGAGAATGGAGATTTTTGAGAGTATGTGTGTTGTTAAATCACTGGTCTTTCTCTGTAATTCTCATTTCTTTCTACAAAAGATCTTTCTCACCAAACCATAACTTGACTTTAGGAGGGCAGAGGTTTTCGTTGTCTTGTATATTCCCATATCCTATCTTTAATCCCCAGAGCAGTGCAGGCTAGTACACAGTAGGACATCTTTGTTGAATAAATGACATCATTTCATGTAGTAAGGCAAAGCAATCAACATTATTTGTTATTTGAATTTAGACTTCTAAATTTTTTTTTTTAACAGCAATTCTACTTGTTTTGAAAGATAACTGGCCAGGACAAGTGGCTGACTGACATATGCATGGAGAGAGACTTCAGCATATTTGATGGAGAAGCAAACTGGGAAACAATTTCAGAGTGATTTTCAGATGTTAGGTAGACTTAAATTTCAGTTGGATTAAAAAAAATGGTATTTTTCTCATGAGCTTTGATAATCCAGTGGAGTATGGGTGCTTCTGAAGGTGACCAGAAAGAATGCCCTTTCCTGCTCAGCCAACCAATGTCTCAAATGAGACATGGGGTGAGGGAGTCCTTTACTCATCCTGAGGAAAGCACAACTGTTTGATTTAAGTCTTAACAGCACTACAGATTAAAGTAAAATTAAAAGCTAGGGGAAACAAGTGTTCAAAGAGGGACTTGAAAAATGTCGTGGCTGTGGAGCCTACTGGACCTCTATACCTGCAGCTAATTTCCCAAGGGTCTTCAAGGAAGTGTATGGTGCAGTTCATAGGAGTATGGGTAGAACCATGAAAATTTATGGGTAGGTGGGTGGCTAGAAAGCATATTAATGGTTTGAAATATAAGGAAACCAATTTGAAATAAAATATGAACATGAACCACTGTATTTTAACACTCTTCTTGACAGTTAAGTTTAAAATTTTTTTGATGTATTTATTTTTATGTGTATGAGTTGTTATGCCTACATGTGTGTAAATGCACCTGTGTCATGCAGGGCCTGCAGAGGACAGAAATGGGTGTTGGATGCCCTGGAACTGGAGTTGCTATGTTAGTTGTTATGTGGGTGCTAGGATCTAAGCCTGGGTCTTCTGCAAGAACCACCAGTGCTTTTAACTACTGAGCCATCTCTCTAGCCCTGACAGTTAAATTTTTACTGTTTTTTGTAACATGTATTATATACTTACAGTGTATGTAGTAAATAAAATACAGTCAAATGCTAAAAGACAGAGTTCTATTTGAATTAATTTTTATCTTACTCTTTTAAATTCAATGCAGGTATATGTTTTTATAGATATATGTTACACCAACACATACAAATATTGTGAATATATACAATAAACTTAGGTATGCAGTTACCTTTTGCACTGATAGGTATTAAATAATCTTGAATCCTACTGACTAGTCTTGGTGATATGAAAAGCATTTGGTTAAAAAAATGCCTATAACTAGGGTTGGAGAGACGGCTCAGCAGTTAAGACCACTGGCTGCTCTTGTAAAGAAAGTAGGGTTTCCTTCCTAGCACCCACATGGTGGCTAACAATTGTCTATACCTCCAATTCCAGGGGATCTTATTTCCTCTTCTTGCCTCTATGGGCACTGCATAACATAGGTGCACTTACATACATGCAGACAAACCACTCATATACATTAAAAAAAAACTAAAAATCCCCCAAAATTTTAAATGCCTATAATTAATGACCATATAGAACTTGCTTTTTAATTTTTACCACTATTTTCAATAACTTAAATAATTAAATACATAAAAGCCAAAAGTAATTTTGCATCTTTAAAGTCCAAACATTATTTTCTAGAGTAATTTTAATATATGTGGATGGTGTTCTGCTATCACTGACTGCAGAAATACTATGAAAAATTATTTCACACTTGTTTCCTTCCCTGTTTTCTTTAGTACTGAATCTTTTTTGTAATGTTGCCCATTAGTAATACCTCAGGAATGTGTGCCTCAAGTAGTTACCTTGACTTGTGTGAACTGTGCGATGTTGTAAGAACATCATGAATGGTGAGAAGATGCAGGTCGAGTGGGTCCTGGCCTGTGTACAGTCTGTAGCAATTTTTATTTCAAGTGGAAGCATATATATTCATGAATCAATTAGGCAGGGCAGAGCAGATAAGAGAGTTAGTGTAGAGATTAAGCAAGCTTTCCTTTATGAAAACTGTTTGGAAATGTGCCTAACACATACTAGTCCCTAAAGTGTAAGCCACTATACTATTATTATTTCTGCTATTATCACTGTTCCTATGTCATATATGCCCACGTTTATTTCTCATGTCTCAAGTGTTTGTTTCCTCACACATTCTAATGGATAATATTTGACAAAGCTTTAATATAAGTGGTTGACAAAGCTAAATAATCTTTGAGCTGGAGATGAGGAAAAAGAGTAACTGTCAGGAGGAAGGATGACAGAAAAGGAATGCTCATGGGTTAATGCATCTTCCAAGATTTCAGAGTCATCCGGGTGCTGTGAGAGTGGGAAGCAAGGACACATAATAATACATGACGCAACTATGCTGAACAGAATGGTAAAACATATGACAGTTAGGCACACTGCTATACACTTAAAAAGACAAAAGTTCATCTGTTATTGAAGAAGAAAAAGCTTATACAAGTTCATTTTCTACCAAGTCCTCTGGAAGGAAGCAACGGATATAACTTCAATGGATACAACTTAAAGCCTATTCCCGCTGGACTATTTGCTAAAACTAGAATTCTAACTTGTAGGAGGTTTTCTCTTTAGCCAAAAAAATTTCAAGACGGTTTTTCTTCTCATAACTTGACATATACGTAAAAATAAATTATTTTTAAGAACAGTTGAAGAGAAGTATCATTATAAAAAAACCCCACAGTTTTATCCTGCACATCTTACGTAGTATGCCAAAACCAAATCTGAACTACTGCATTATTACGCTTATTTGGGTGGTTAAGCCCAAGCTCAATAAGAATGTCCATTTCATAATCAAGAAGGTTTCTCTTGCAAAATCAGAAAAATGAGTATGAGACAGAATTTGATAGAAAAGAAAGAAAACTTTATGTTTTCCTCAGGGGGTACCGAGAATCACAATATGGAGATCAAAGACTGCAATTAACATGCTATTAGAATACAGGAGGGGAAATATAGCAGGGAATTGGGCATCGTTCTCCAACCTACCACAACAATCACAACATCCAGACAATTCCAGAAACTCCTGAAATAATGTAGTCTGTGGATCCGAATTTCCAGTATCTCTTCCACCACATAGTAAAGGATAAAGAAACAAAAGATTATCTCACAGGCTGCCAGGAAGAAATCAAAAGTCGTGACGTAGTGAATCAGTTTTACAGGCTGAAATTGCCAAGACGGAACCACACCACCTGTTGCTGGAAATTCAACCAATAACCTGCATTGCAAAAAGAACAGTTAATACTGCTACTGCAAGTTTCCTAAAACTAGTGAGAAATCATTTCAATCATGACCACTAGCTGCATACTAGTAGGAACATAGTTTATAAAAGGACATAAACCTCCTAAGACTCCCACCCCAAAGGACCACTGCCAGTCCAATGTTCTTTTCTACTGCTCTTCTGATATTTAAACTCCTCAAAACTCTCTCTCTCTCTCTCTCTCTCTCTCTCTCTCTCTCTCTTTTTGGTCTTTTTGCTTTGAGTTGGGATTCTGTTTCTTTTAGTTAAAGGGATTTTGCACACACCCACCTTCCTCCTGACATTAAACATCCTGTCTTTCTAGGACTTCTATTGAATGCAAGCCATTGCCAGACAACAGAAAAGAGCCTAAATAAATACAAGTCATGCGCTAAAAACATTCATAATCAGGGTGAAAGTAGGATATATACTTTGTAATTATAATATAAAGATAGGGTCTGCCTCATCAATACATTCAGTAATTAACATCTAATTAGCTCTTTAGTTTGCTAGTTTTCTCCTCTTGCCAAGGCCTTGTAATTCAGATACCCAATACCCATCTACTGTCTGAAATAGTACCATACTATTTTATGGTACTATGTTTAGGTTTTATGTTCACACTCTTAGCACAGACTTTTTTACTGTCTCACTATACTGGAACTGAGGAATTCTCTTACAGTGTTGGTTTCACACTGAGAAAGTTCAATGATTCACTTGCTAGAACTGTCTTCCTATTAAACTAGAATTAGATTCTCTAGCTCTATAATTTTAGAGTTTTAGACGTCCTTGGCCATGTATTTGGCATCACAATGTCCTCTATTAGTGGACAGTGGCTTGTAAGATACACGCAGGCTCTCACAATGACCAAGTCAAAGCAGGGACTTTAGAAAATGGGAAATCCTCTTCACCATCAACTTCCCTCCTTTTCTTTGTTTCAGAGTATCTCAGTGACAGCTGGAATCTCAGAAGAATATTAAAAGCAGTGGGTCTCGGTTCAGTCTTAGTGTGAACGCAAGAGGGAGCAAGTGGCCCCTGCTTGTCAAGGAATCTCTGTTCTACAAGGCTCTGCTTTGTCAACCACTTGCAGGAACTTAGGAAGAAATGGAGTAATTTCCCTGACATTCAGCCTTGGAGTCTAGGGAGGAAGTGAAAAAAAAAAAAAAAAAACCAAAACTAAAGACATCCTATAATTAAACATTTTCTAATGTTTAATTAGAAACATCCCTCCCTTGGTATCAACCTGGGTCCCTGGCACCCTCTTCTAGTCAGCTGCAAGAAGGGTGTTTTCCCCTGGCCTTTTCTATAGAAAAGGATATTTGGATAACTACCCCCAAATGGGAGGGCTATGAGTCCGCAGTACATACCTGACCACACAGAACAGGTTAATGTTCGCATTGTACACTGAAAAGTCAATGAAAGTCGCTCGGGTTCCTCGGTCCAGCCAGAAGTTTTTTCTGAGGCCAGCAATCTGAGCAGCTGTTTCCTCTCGGGTTCTCGACAAATCCAGATAATAACCAGCTCCACTGTAAGTTGCAATTATTCCCCAGTGGCTACTCCCATTCAAGTCCTTTTCACTCGTATAGATCCATCTAATTAAAAAACAAAAAAAACAACAAAAAAACCCAAGTAAAATTAGTGAAAGACTTGTCACAATGACAAAGATAGCTACTTCCTTCTAAGATAAATAAGTAATAAATGGTGTTCTTGACACAATTCTTCCTATGTGCTTTCTTGGTGAAACTTGATACAATTATTGACCTCAGTTTGGTAATGAGTACTGCAGACTCATATCCCTCCCATTTGGGGGTCCATGTGTAGTGAGTGTGGTGGCATTAAGAGGGAAATGGAAGGTATATTTATTTGGGAACAGTAGCCTAGCCTCTGGAAAAAGATCAAGACCACCTCTGTGTAGATGGTAGGGTGTGAGGGTGTGAGGGTGTGTGTGTGTGTGTGTACTGAGGTGGGGGATGCTGTGACAGAGACTGGCATGACCAGGGCAGGAAGGGGTCCCTCAGTGCTGTACTTCACATCCCCTGTACAGATTGCTTTGGTTGGATCATCTTCCCACAACACTACTCATTGCTCTGGCCCTGGGTACACCTATGCGTACACTAGTGGAGCATCTCTGGTACAAGTGAAAGACCAACCAAAAGGTCAGACGCTCCACCAGCAAGAGAAGTTTGAGGGCAGCTTCTGCACTAACTACACTGCCTGCTATAGGGGAACAGAGATGCTAATTAGAGGGTGGAGGTGTAAAAGAGGTACAGGGTAGGGTCGTGTGCTCAGTTTATACCGTGTGAAGTGTCTTCATGCAAGACAGCACCATGTACAATGACAATTTTTAAAAGTTTCTTTTCAATATTTAAGAAGCAAGCATTGTCTGAAATATAGAAAAGGAGTTATGAATTTGTATGCCAGTTCAACAATATTCTGGAGGGCAGAGGAGGAATATGTGGAAACAAAGGAAAAAAGGATGAGAAAAAAAAATTACAACAGTGAGAGAAAAAAATCTACTTACAATTTTTTTTTTTTTGCTGGGTGTGGTGGCGCACACCTTTAATCCCAGCACTTGGGAGGCAGAGGCAGGCGAATCTCTGTGAGTTCAAGGCCAGCCTGGTCTACACAGTGAGTTCCAGGACAGCTGGGGCTACAGGGAGACCCTGTTTTCTTGACTGGGAGGTGTGTTTTTCTTTTTTTTGTGTGTGTGTGTATGTGTGTGTGTATGCACGCCTACATGAGTTTATGTGCATTATGTGTGTGCAGGTGGACAAAGAGGCCAGAAGAGGGCATCAGATTCCCTGGAACTGAAATAATGAGGTTGTGATGTGGGTGCCAGGAACATAACACATGATTTCTTCAAGAAGTTAATTGCTGAGCCATATCTCTAGCCCCCAAAATTTACACTTTAAATAACTGCATTCTGAACAAAGACATAATTGTAAGAGCTACTAAGAAATTTCTGAACCAGAAACATAATAAATAATTTAGGGGACAATCTTATTGGACCAATAAAATAATACTGAAGCATCTTACTCAAAACCTCCAAAGGCTCAGATCATTTCTTTCTCTTGGGCTGTATGGTCAACAATTTGGCCTTTTCAGAATATGCATATAGAAACTAAAAGTAGGACAAAAGTTAAGAAAAAATGAGAAACAAAGGTCACCTTGACCCAGGCTTCCACATAAGCACTGAAGAGGGACTAGAGGTATCTTTTTGGTGAAGCTGTCAGAGAATGAATGAATGAATGAATGAATGAATGTCACCCTTTGGCCATGCATCATAGACACCTACGCAGTCCCATTTCGTGGCCCGAATGGAGCCCTATCCTCACTACTGACTGAATAGACATCGTAGCATTCTTTAATTTCATCTCTTAAGTCCTGAGGTATTGTACAGGATCCATTTCTGACTCTGAGTTGGCGTAGACGTGGCACTCCTAACAGCAGGTTCTCATAGAAGATGAAGCTTCGGTTGTCAGCCTCTGTTTGGTTGCTGGACTGTGCTTTCCAGTACAGGCCATCCAGAAAGGAGCCTTCTGTGAACTGAAACAAAAGAAGGTGTTTAGCCAGGTGTAGTAGGCCTGTAATTCTAACACTCTGGGGGCAGAGGCAGGTGTGACTCTGTGACTTCAAAGCCAGCCTGGTATAGATAGTGAGTGCAAGGCCAGCCAGGACTACATAATGAGACATTGTCTAAAAATCAAAGCAAAAGTTTCAAGCCCCACAGCTCTCTTGCTCCTGCCTGGAGTGTTTGCGTGACTAAAACTTTACTAACCCTTAGGATTCTCTGACCTGGGCTTCCACATTTGGCAAATCTATCTTTTGTGTGGTTGGTGAACCTGACATAAGGTCAATACTTAATAAATGGCAGCTTTGATTTTCTGTTTTAAGATTACATATTATGAGATTGGTGTGTTTCACAAATGTATGAAGACTATTAGCTCCACTTCCCCTTATCAAAACAGCACCCCACATAACCATGAACTCGGGGTGAAAAGGCAAGAGTCTCAATTCAATTACCTTTTGTACTGGATCCTTTCTGTTTTGTTTTTTAACAATCTACCTCCAAGTTTATTCATTGTTAGCTACAAAAGCTGTTGGTACCATTTCCCGAGACCAAGGTTACAAGTAAGTTTTGGGCAAAGGTTAATAAGAACACTTAAAAGTTTAGCTCAAATCTAATTCTTATACCTAGACTATTTTACTAGTAGCCCCAACCCCACCCTATGTCTTTTGGCATTTATGATGGAACAGTGTATGTGAGAAGTCTCTTGTTTTCACAAGAAGCTTCTCCTCTAGGGAGAACAGATCTAGTTACTTCTCCATGTATCACCAGGGAATCAAGAGAGGTCTGCCACACTGAGCTGGGGAAAGGTCAATATTATGCAAATAGGGGTTTTAATGTCAAGCGTTGTTACATATTAAAAGGTTGCAGTGACCCAGTGTTCTCTATGTTTAAAATTAAGAGCTCTAATCTCCGAGTTTAGTAAGAAGTCTACAACCTATTTCCCCAGGGAGACACTACTGCCTGCTTATCATCTACTATCGTTGGAACTTATGACACCTGGGGAAGAGGCTGGGTTGAATTTTACAGCAGCAGACCTCTACAGGAGCTGGGGGAGGGGGCACTTTGTCAACAAAGACACAAATCACTGAAAGCAAACTAACATATGACACTCAAACTGCCTTCTTGAGTTTCATAGAACATTTTCAAACAACATTTATTGACTCAAGAACGACTGAATAATAATTACATAAAGCTGTAGTCATGATGGAAAAAGCTCTCTTCTTTTCCTCTGTAGGCAGGTAAGCATCCTGAATCTCACCTCATTTAAGAATTAGGGCACAATATTGGTATTTACCTGATAAGATCATTATAGGGATTAAATAAAGGTGAGAAAAATTCAGTTCTATGCAAGACACTTTCAAGGTTCTCAATAAATACCAAGGGACGAAACAGTAACTTTGAATAATTTAATGTAATTCACAATATCTCACGTCTACTGAAGACACTCATGAATTCAATTTATGACACCATATGAATAATTTTCAGAGACAAGTACTTTTAGTTATTTGAAATACCTTCCAGAAGTCCTCCATTGAAGAAAGAGTTTTAAAGTTCGTTTTGTCTGTTTTAGACACTGGAGTGTCTAGGAAGAGCTGTGACAGCATCCGGGTGTAGTAGTACACGTTGGAACTCATCATGCCATAGGTCACTGAAACACAGAAAGGATCAAATGAGCTTCAAGAGGGAACCTGCACATATACATGCACAGCCAACAGCCTCCACGAAGGGACTGCTCCTGGTAGGTGGGTATTTTGGAGAGATAAATGTTCATACAGGTTATCTTTCACCCTGGCAACTTGAGTTTAATCTCTAGAACCTATATAAGAGGAGAAAACTGACTCCCAAAAGGTGTCCTCTGATTGCCACATGAATGCTGTTGACACACATGATCGCCCTTACAATACACACAGAGAAAACCAATAATTCATAATGATATGCATTCATATAGTATGTATAAAAACAATATTAAAATTTTCCAATGCTTTAGCAAGTGCTTTTTAATTTGGAATCATAATGACTACAGGGGCAATAGTCCTACAATTTATGGGAATAAAAGCTTCAGGAGGAAGGAATATGTTTCATTCCTATGTTTTGACAAGTGATAGAACTCATCTAAAATGATTAACTGATTCTGTGATAACCTTCAAGTATCAAAGATGTCTATTAAACCATTTTGATTAAACAATTGGCAAATCTGTCTCTCATGTAGCCCTCTTTACTTTCAAGCAGCATAAAGTTTAAGATTAATAAAGGAGAACTATAGGTAATAATGATCTAACCTGCTTGTGCCTGAGAGTTTACCTCAAGCAATCAATTAAGCAACAAATCAACATAATACCCACAATTTGGGTAATCTGTCAGGGAAAGTGTACTGAATAATCTCCAGTCCTCCCGTACTCTTCTATTATCTGAAGTAGGACAATAGTAGTCTTCATCTGATACCTGATTTGATCGTCCACTCCAACATTGGACTGGATCCTAGTTGAAGGTTTAGAATTAATTCTAACTCAGTGCTGTTCATAGGGCAGTTACCAGACATAAAGATTAACAAGAGGTAACCTCTCCCTCTAAAAGAGGATCTCATAGTGTCCCCCGAGATTATGCTGCCTGGTCACCTCCCATAGAGGGATGGGTGCAGGTACAATGCCCTCTATAGAGATGTTCTGAGGATCCAAAGTCAAAGGAGGGGACAAAGGTGACCCAAGACAGTAAGGATAGAAGAATCCTTAAAGTTAAATGAATGACTAAGCTAATTACTTCAATTACTGTGAAATTAGAATGTACTCTGGGTGGATTGATTAATAGAGAACACGTTGGAGCATTTTAACTGGGTAAAACCTATTGTTGGAAAGCATTTAAATACAGTACGGCCACCAATTCAAAAAGTATCTCCTTCATCTTCCTATCATGCTTCTTCCAAAATTGACTTTTGTGGTTGAAATTCTCAAACTGTGCCTGCCTTCATGGTTTAACCCAAAGGGAAGCATGATTCCATTGTTTGAGTAGAGCCCCCTGCTGGACACCAGAAAAATGTTGCCTCTAGCTTTGAAGACACTCCTCATTCAACCACAATGAACTGGGTCTCTGTCCTGTGCCAGGCCCCACTGTCTCAACTATCCACGAGTGACACTTCAACACATGCTCAGAGCAGCTACACCATGAGTACAGGAAGCGGTACTTCAATGAAGACAACCTGGGTCAGAGTTTCAGTGGGGCTCCACACTCTGGGCTTACGATAGAGCACTGGTGTCCTGGGATCTTGGACAGCTACTAACTTTCCTGAGCTTGAACTTTGAAAGTGAGCATAATATCGAGAGCTCTTTATGCAGCTCAAGCAAAGAAATGTATGTGAAGACAGTTGCACAGTATAAACTGGAGTGGAAACATGACAGCTACCTTTCTCCTCCCCGTCCCCAAAGGAAAAAGTTCATCACAAAGTGGTACTCACCCTCTAAATGTACCGTGATGAGAAAACCACTGCACGAAATACAGAAACTTAAATGAGAACTAGAAAGAGGATGATGATAAATTTACATGACACCAGGTAATGTGTGTGTGTGTGTGTGTGTGTGTGTGTGTATGTGATGAGCACAAATTCCACCTGCTATTTCTTCTTTTAAACTCTCATTTTTCACTTTTCCAAAATGAGTAAGAAAAAATACTAATGTATAATAAACACAGGTTGCCAAATAAGCAATATGTAATCAAAACAGCTAATGGATACTATTTAATTCTTGATGTTGTTGAGAGAATATAGGCTTAAATTCAAATCAAATGCAATATATCATAGAACTCCATACTGTATACATTTTGATGGCCAGAAGCAAAGAAAGAAATCCTCCAATTTAACAAGAGCAAAAGAAAAATGAAAGTTGACAGGAAAGCATTAATAAAGGGAAACATGATGGACACTTGACAAAAATATGAAATGTGAATAGGTTAAACTCTTCCTAGACAAACACGTTTTTAAAAATTGGTTAAAAAATGAAAAAGGCAACTGTAGAATTTTTATGAGAAAACTACTCATAAATAAGAATGGGGAGGGCCAGTAAGATGGCTAGGTGGCTAAAAGGGCTTGCTGCACAAGCTTGGAGACCTGAGTTCAATCCCCAGAATCCATATAAAAGTGGAAAGAGAGAACCAGCTCCACAAAGCTGTCCTCTGATCTCCACACACACACTATGGCATGCACATCCATGCATACACATCGGGCACACACAATAATAAATAAATATTTAAAAATATAGAGTAGGAAAACACATAAAGGGCAAATTTTTCTTCGGAAAAACTAAAATGTTATTACAGTCATCTGACAAAGGAGATTATAAAGTGATTATTGAATCTGATGGAAAGATATTTTATATTGATAAATGATACCATAAACAATGACTTAACTATCATGAATTCTTATGCACTGAATAATAGATTATCAAGATGTATAAAATGATACTTGCAATACAAAAATAAGCAAAATCACGTCAAAAACTGAGACAAGACTTCTGTTTTTTTTAAGCCAAAACATAAACTAAATCCCCTTAAAACAACAACAAAAAAAACCAGACAAAACTCTTAAACCATAAATTTTGAAAATTAGCTGACAAACAAGAAAGTATATGCATAAAAAGTTAAATCATTTAGCAATTTTAAAAGGGGTTCTCTCTTAATTACCTGTCAAAGAAATCAAAATTTGCACAAAGATAGCTTTTCCAGGTGCAAAGACGGAAACCAGATGCCTTGTTCCTAGATTCCTGGCCTTATATCAGTGTGAAGCTGTTACTCTGCACAGAAACCTAATTTCTTTATAGCCCTGTCTTGCATGTTCTTAACAGGGCTGTGGTGGAGATAAAACACAGAGCTTACAACCAGGCATGGTGACACACCCCTTTAATCTCAACACTCAGGAGGCAGAGGAGGCAGATCTCTGTGAGATCCAGACCAAACAGTGAGTTTCAGGCCAGCTGGGGCTACAGGGAGACCCTGTCTGTCACAAACAAATACTCCATTCAAAGGGACTCTATCTAGAAAGGCACAGTGCTATACATAAATCAAAGAGTTAAGTGAGTTTGAACTGACTTAGCTGATATTAACTTGCAGGAAGTTCTTGGAATCAGTGGATGAGAAGCACTAGTGGGCAAGAGGGGGAGCAGAACTGGGCAACGGCATGAGCAGTGAGAAGCTCCACATGGCAGCATACAATGTATAGCACATGCCTCCCTTCCTATGTGTGTGACAGTTGCATGAGCCAGCTTGGCTGTTCATTTTTCCTAATTGTCTTTTATATCACTTCCCATGCTTAAAGCCAGGGCCCAAGTCTGTTTTTAATTTAATAAATTACTAAACATCCACATAAATAAATAGTGAACAACTTCCAAGAGAGATAGTGGAGGTTTAAATAGGGATGAGAGTGATACAGGGAAGAGGACAGAATGAGAGGTGCTTCCTAAAAGCCATGGAAGGGGGAGGGGCTTCTTGGAAGCCACACAGGTTTGGGCTGAGGCCTTCATGTGGGTGACAGTAAAGTTCATCCAGACACAGAACAAACTGAAATACGTCTAGATAGGTGTGATTAGGGCTGTTAGAGATTACAGGCTTGTATGAGACTCTTTAGATACCCAGTAGACATTGGCACAAAGTAACTCATAAATGAGATCTGAAACTAAAGACTTGGGAGCCACGGTATATAGTTGAAGCTTTTTTTGTGTGTGGAATTGATCACTCAAAGATAAAGCTAGGCACCCAATAAGAGAATACACTATCTAAATGTGTTTCAGAAAAGAAGAAAACTAAAAAATGTGACTAGAGCAAGGAGGAAACAGGAAATTATTGAAGCCAAGGAGGGAAGCTTCTAGAATGCTAAATGCCATGGGACCAAATACCAGGGAAGCTGAAAAGTATCCATAAATTTGGCAATAAAGAGATACCCAGTGATCTTGTTGAGAGCCTTTTAGCGAGTAGGAGAGAGACAACAGAATTAACCAGAGTTCATGAAATAAAGCAATTAAAAACAGCTCATTTTCATCCCCTTTGGTTTAAATCTTGAAGAATATAATACATGACAAATTACAATGGAAACCTTTAAGGGATAGAAGCTATAGCCACAGAGCGTTTGAGAATGCTTGTACTGGATGAGTATTTTGTTTTGCTTCATTTTAGAAACAAGAACGATATACAATATTTACATGTTACCACGAACAAAAAAAAGATATTCATATGAAATAAAGGTCATGCTTAATTTCTGTACTTTTCCATTTACTGTCATAGAAAAGTTGATGTTTTTTGTTTGTCAGCTTATCTTGAAGAACAAGTATTTTATAGCCATAACCAAGAGCTTTAACAACTACTTACTATGGACTCTGAGACTGTGATTGTCAGACTGAGGATGTCTATTGTGGGGTCATTAGGATGTTTATCACCAGATGTAGAAGATAGCTCCCCACCGGTGTGATAGTAAACTACTGACCTGGACTTCAGTGAATCTTGTTATCCCAATCTGTGTGGATTCCCTGGCAACTCAGAAAAAATCTTTATGAGCTATTTAGTCATAAATGAGTTACTTACTTTGTGCCAACTTCTACTGGATATCTAAAGAGTATCACCTAGGCATCTCATCTCTAATAGCCCTAATCATACCTGTCTAGACATACTTCA